AGTCGCCCCAACTGAAAAGAAACGTTAACACATTAGTAAGATATTTTTTTCTGGCTAACAGTTAAATATTGATGATTTGTTCACAATACTTGCAAAACCACCCTGGATTGCCTCTTCGCAGCACGTGCATTCCTTCATTTGATCAACCATCACGAACACATAGCTCACTAAGTGTCTCTTGAATGCCGAGTGCAGGTGAGATTGAAACCTTCCATTCAGTGCATGTGTTGTCTAGCCGTCCGTGGCCTGGCAGCGCCTGCGCCTGCCGAGGCCGGTGTCGGTGTCGGTGTCGGTGTCGGCTCCGCTCGCTTCATGAGTGCACCTTTCATCCCTGCACTTAATGAGGTCTTTCTCCTCCACCGAACACTGCCTGTCCCCGGACGCGGGCGGCGACGGCCGTGACGGAGGAGCGGGCCGGGCCTTCCGCCCGGGGATAATCCATTGGGCGCGGCCGCCCTGCACGAGGGACGGCCGGGCGAAAGGCGCGGAGGACACTCCTCAAATGTTATAGTCTGAAAGAAGGCTTACGCTTCACGCATACAATCGACGGGAAATTTTAGATAACGCCGCCACTTCTAACTCCTTCCAGAAGATTTCGGTGTTTTCGAAGAAGCGTTGGCGCCCCGGACGAATCATTAACATTCCAGGCCCGGGAGAAACCGCTTCGGGATATAGATCTGGAAGAGAATAAGCGCACTCAGGCAGCAAATGCGCCCGTTCTAGCAGGACTATCGGACCACACAAGAACATCAGCCGAGGGCATGGACGAGCGTTGGAAGGGAAGCGTTCGCTTGCATTCCCTTGCAGGGCAAAACCACACCAACGATTTTCCAAAACATAGCACGAACACTGCTCAAGAACAAGAATTAAAATAGTCTCCCATAATGCTGCAATAAAATAAATCACAGACAAAAAGTCACCAAGAATTCTTCAATAACATTTTCTAGTATATATGGATGCACAGTACAATATTTCAATACAAATCAGCAATATCACAGTAGTGGTGCTACAACAGGACACACTACCTTCTTGCATTATTTTTTAATTTGATATTTTCGAAAATTCAGAAAGATGAACGAAAGTGAGACTTACTCCCATCTTTCAACCGTTCCATCCATCCATTGGAAAATACGGAGAACAAATTGAAGCAGTGTTTGAGAAAATGCTTCTTTTATAAATTACATAAATTTGAACAATTTACACAAAAATTTGTTGTTTTTTTTTAATTACTTCTCTGTTTTTAAAGAACTATTTTTTAACAGACTCGTTGCAGGCAAAATTCTTCAATTTTCTAGTTTCGAATTATTCAATTTTTGTGATTTTCCAAAATAAGTGCGTTTGCCAACAGTGAGATTAGCACAGTCTTTTTTCTGACTTTTGATAGATACAAAGAGAAGATTTAAAGAAAAAGGAAAAAAAAGAGTCGTTTTTGAGGGGGAAAAAGTGTTAAAAATCTAACTAGTGCTACAGAATGGCCCACACTTTCCCGTATTAGTTTTCTATTTCCTTTGGTCTCGTCTAACTATATGGAGCCGTTTTTAAGAACATTTTGAAAATGTCTAGAACTTCATGTAAAGTATCCATAATTTTAGAAAAATATTATTTATTTCCTGTTCAATATTATATTGAGGGTGATTGAAGAAATTATGTTAACATAATTTTTTTGGAAATGCCATAAATTTTGATATAATTATTGCAATTATGATTTGGTTTCAATAAAACATGAAATAAAACTGGAAATTTAATAATAATTTAGTAATTTTTAATACAAGTTTTGAGTTGTAAGAGAATTCCTTAGAAAGGATTTATAAATATATTTACGGAGGGGGAAAATTTTCTTTGGGGAAGCGGGAACGTTGTAACGCGGGGAACGGGAATATCATAATTTTGACCTAAATCGAAATATTGAAAAGCAGGAACGTTTGTTAAGTTGTTGAAAAGTTTAGAAGATTGATAAATTATAAAGGTCTTAATTATTTATATTTGAATCTATTTATTCTTTATGTATCCGTTTATTGGAGATGAACCATTCAGCTTTTAGAATTCCGCGTAAAAATTGTTTGAAATGGTTTGTATTTTCTTCATGATTGACGCGGATGCATTACCCCAAATTGGACATGCGTATCTAAGTGCTGGTCTTCTTATTGTTTTAAAAATTAATATGGGTACCACAATCAATTTGTAATTTTGAAAATGTATTAGTTAAAGGGTATAATTTTGATATTTTTTTAAGTTGTATTGGCAATATTTTGAATGTGTGATTTCCATGTTAAAATAGGGGCCTAAATATTTAATTGGAATGCGATTTTCTATCCAAGGTTTATATTATTTATTTTGAGACATGGTGGGTTAGTAGGTCTGCAAAGAGTGAACATTTCTTTGTGCTTTAGATGTGTTAATAATAATAATTATTATTATTATTATTATTATTATTATTATTACTACTACTATTATTATTATTATTATTACTACTACTATTATTATTATTTATTATTATAATCTCGAATGCCATTTAATATTTATTTAAAGAATTTTGTAGAGTATTTCCAGCAGTTTGTATATTTTTGCGAAATGAAAAAAGAGCAGTATCATTAGCATGTATTAGTATCATTAGGAGTTTCCTGTGTAAAAGGAAGGGCTGGAATATCTGTCATGTATATATTGAAAAGGAGAGTTTTGAACCTTGAGGAATTTCACAGAAGATACGACGAGAAGTAGGATAAGATATATTAATTTTGGCACAAACATTTCGATTTTTTTATTATTTCGAATAACTATATGGGAATTCCTCCTGAATGTAATTTAAATAATAATCCAGAAGGTCAAACTTTATCACATGCTTGTGCAATATCGAGGAAAATTCCAATTGTATATTCCTTTTTGTGAAAGTTTTGTGCTATTAATTCAGAAATGCGTAGTAATTGATATATAGAATAATGAGATCGAAAACCAAATTGGTAATTAGAAAGTGTTTGTATTGAGGAAATATAGGATGATAATGGAGAAAATAATAGTTTTTCAAAAATTTTAGACAATTGAGATAGAAATTTAGAAGTCCGAAGTTTAAGGGAAGATGGGGATCTTTGCGAAAAATAAGAAATACGAAGCACTGAATTGAATATAGTTGTTAGTTTCCATAAAATTTGAAAATTAAGTTTTTTAAACATTTTGTTTGAAACAGAATCGTATCATTTTGTGAATATTCAATTTGCATGTTTTTTTCAACTTCTAGGGGAGAAATAAATTAAATTTTCGAAGGGACTGAATAATGTGGAGAAGAGATGAAAGATTCAATTTCGATATTAAAAGTTTGATTTATGGGTTTGGTTTAAAAATCTTTTCTAGTTGATGTGCAATTAAATTTGATTTTTGAGAATCGGTATATGCAGATGTAGAACCGTTGTTTAATATTGGAATAGCGGAATAAACTTTTGTTACTTTTTAATTTTTGACCAATGTGGCATGCTATTGAGATGTAATTGTGCAACGTAATTTTGAAATTTGTCAAATTTTTATTGATCTATACGTAATTTGACAATGCATGACAAGAGTTAATGGTTTCTTTGAATGTCAGGGCGTCGAGTTCGTAACCAGAATCGTCTTAGGATGCTTTTGATTTAAAGTGGCGTAGCGATGATCACATCGCATCAAGTAGATTCAGTTCCTTACGGCAAAAGAAGATTACTGATTTTGCAAGTTCCTCTAAGTGATAATTACTGCTACATAAATAAGTGATAAACACCGTAGTTAACAGTTCAATAAACATTTCGACAACTTGTGTTTCAATAATTAATTGTTCAATTCTACAGTACTAATAAAATCCATCCTTTACACTACAAACATACATTTTATTTAATTTGTTAATTTTTTTCTCCATCCCGAATTTTGTTTGGATTATCCGAAATTTCAGATTTACGGGGTTCTGATTAGCGGGGTTCAACTGCATTTTCAAGCAAATATCTCTTACAGCTAAATCATGTCCCAATAATGAGACGTAATTCACTGCAATTCAGCCGCTTTCTCGCGGAGCGGAATGCTTGTGGTATAGCAATTTGTTACCGCCTGACTGATCCAAGACACTAAAAGTGACATCACTAAAACACTAGTCAGTTCTTTGGGGTTAAGGCCAGAAGTAACTGAAACAAAATTTAATCTTACTGTTATATTCACTCTCATTAGAACAGATAAGTTTGTTCTCTCTTTTACTATGTTTCAATACTACCACAAACGTTTTTCGTGATTTATGGGAAAACACGACATTTTGAGTTGTGTTACTCTTGTAATAAGTGTGCGATATGAATAGTGTAATAGTGTGTGAAAATGCTGCAAAAGTTTAAGCGCTAGTGTTGTTGACGGTCAGATAGCCGGACGTTCAGACGGAAGGAAGGGCGGACAGGGGGAGTGCAGAAAATAACATTTTCCATATGAAGATGTCGCACAACGTGTATTCTGATTACACAATGTATTCGAGAAACCCATTGACTAGAGGAAGGAACGAGAATTATTCATTTTTTTGTTAACAGAAAATGAAGTCGTCTAGCCCCACCCTAAAGTGTTCTTTTTGCCGCATCCCCAAACCCTCTCTTTGCAAGGCAAGTAGGAGTGGTAAGGGCCGAAGAGAGGTGGCCCCAGCAGAGCGCCGCCGCTGGCCCAAAAGCGGCGCTCGCGCAGGCGCCGCCAGGGCCGTCTGGTTTTGAAGCCCCGCGGGCAAAGGCGGAAGGGAACAACGCGCTGATGGAGGCGCACTGGCGCGCGGCGCGGCGCGGCAAGGCACGGCTCTATCGAACGCGCTGCGATGCTTTCTTCGCCTGATAAAGAAACTCTCATTGGAGGCGGGGAGGGGGAGTGCCGCTGCGGAGAGAGGAGTGGCGGGGCGGGGCAGTGCCCGGCCGCGTCACCCACAGACACTATTTTGCTCAGCCCGCCTATCACGGTGAAGAACACGCTCTTTATGTTAATATTTTCTTTCACCTTTTGTGTACGACGCAAATCATTCCTACCAATCACAATAAGAGACCTGGACAAATAATATTTTAAAGGTATTATATTTAGAAATGGTCGATGAGAGATGATGAGCGCGTAGGCAAGCACAAAAGTCATTCTATTTGCGACATCTTCCCAAAAGGATAATAAATCTTTCCGCTCACACACGCTGTTTGACTTGAACAGGATATGCCCGTCACACTTAAAAAGGTAGAAAGATAGTAGATGGTAGATTTTAACTATATCCACTCCTTGACTATGACACATTCATTTCAAAGCTAGTAGCTTTGCAACAGTAAACAATACCTCTGATTGCAATACGGCATTCCCTACCCTACGAACACTTCAGTCATCACTTAAAATAACTCAAACCAATAAAAATGAACGTTGCAAGAAAAACACTGATATTCTTAAAACAAGTGAACGTAACTAAATACGATACAATACTGAAGAATTGATTGCATTAAGAAGGGAATCTTTACATTCATTATTAAGCAAATTACAAGCAATATAAATATAAATCAAATTACGCAAAAAACACTCATATTTTGAAACGAGAGTACAAAAATGAATAAAGACCTAATATTAAAGAAAAAAATGCTTTAAAAATCTCATTATTAATTACGATTAATGTAAGAAAGTGTTGAGAACATTTCGAACTTTTAACATTCTCCAAATTCCAGAAGTTTTACCGAAATCCGTTAAATGACGTATTGTTAAGAACACTTCGTTCTAGTCGAGCTAAACATCTTGACAGTTGGCATCATGATTGCGGAGATAGTCGGGCGGGAAGGCAGATGGACGGACCGGCGAACGGAAGAATCGACATACGGATCAACAGACGATTGGTCCGACCGACAGACGGAGGGACTGACTGACTGGCAGACGACCGAAAAGTCAGCGGAGCGACTGGCAGGCAGGTGGACGGTCAAACGTTTAAAGACGGTGTCACGGACTCTCAAAACATGTTTTCAAAATATAGTTTTTGCCGTTTTTGACTTTACTTAATAAGATTTTCTCTTGACCGAACTCCTTGCAGCATACTGAATGTACTTCTGAACTGGTAGTAGAGCAAAATCTCTCGAATGATTGTAACTTCCACAATCTACACTGAAAGATTGATACGTCATGACAAAAAAATCCGTTGCTGCCACACTGAAGGCGCTCTTTTTGCTTCAGCACACTGATTCCATTGAGAAAGAATGAAACATGGCTGAATGACAGAGGTCTCTTGCCTCAGACGCCAGACCGAGTGCAGTATCCACACGTGGGCAGGAGCGCGATCTCGCCCGCCCCGCCGCGCGGCGCCACCGAGAGCAGGCCGCTCCGCAACCGCTGCCTGCAGAGCCACGCGACGGCGTGCGCACATGCCAGCGGAGCGGCGGCGGAGCAGTGCCCTCTGCAGAGAAGTTTGAAACAAGACCTCATGTCCACGGAAGAAGGCATTTTATTGCTGTAAATACGTTCAAGTCACGATTTTCCCCTATTTGTAACCTGACAATTACGAGAACTGTCCTAAGGTATTTGAGAAAGAGTCTTTCCAAGCCATCTGGGAAACCAGTAAATCATTCCTACTGATCTAAAAACAACTTGATACATACACGAAATACTTAATAAATTACTTCTCTTCCTAGTACTTTTTATTTATTTACCCGTTTATTCTTTTATTTACGACAGGTGATAAGCAAATAAAAAAAACAAAACAAGTTCAATAAAAAAAGGTCCAGAAACGTAGTTTCACCCGTTCTTCTTTCAGGTTACGTGCGCCCTCGCGTGTACACCACCGTTGTTGCCCCCGACGCGACAAGTGGGCGGAAGGCGCGTGAACGGCAAGTCACTCTCATCACCACCACCACGAAAACAGTAAGAAAAGAATTCATCTCGGGTAGAATTCCCGGCTATCTGAGCTGTCAACGAATCCGAGGTGTTCTCTACAAGGGCCACTGTGCCGTTCGCGTAGTACAGCCCGTCCGTCCAACCGGTTGCATAGCGCTGCCAACAACGCAGAGTGCATCAGTGCGGACCTCCCCGAAAGCAGCGCGCCGGCCCCCGGGCCGGGCGGGGAGGGCGCGGAGGGCGGGGAGGGGAAAGCGCATCCCAGCGGGCCAGGCACAGCGGCAACTTCCCGCGCCGTGACGACGTGGCGAAGGCGAAGCGAAGGCGACGCCGTCCGCGCGCCGCCGTCCAAGGCTGGCCTCGCCGATACCGCCCCGCCCCAGCCGCCGCCGCCGCAGCAGCGAGGCGCATGCCAGTGGCCGGCGAGGCGGCGCGCGGCGGCGCGGGGCCAGTGTGGTGGCAGGCTTGGCAGCGCTTGGCAGTGAGAGTCGCTGCTGAGGCAAGCAAGGAGCATGCGGCGGCGGCGACTCCGCAACGCCTTCTGGCTGCTGGCGCGCCCGCTGGCCGCGCTCTTCTTACTCGTGGGCCTGCTAGGCCAGGAGACGGCGGCGGAGGCTGAGGAGGAGGAGGCGGCGGCGGTGGAGGCGACGTCACAGGGCACAGACTCCGCGCCCGCGCCACCGCCCCCAATGGGGCCGGGGCCAGGGCCAGCTCGGGCGCCGGCGGCGGGCACCACCACCACCATGCGCATGAGCGCTGTGGCCCCCGCCCCAGCCCCTCTACATCATCGCCCATCTTCGCGCAATCAGTACAAGGTTGAACAGGATCCCGGGAGCCGCCCCGGGCTTGTCCGCGATTGCTTCTCCTAATCTAAGCCGCCACAACTCCTCTTTCCCCTCCGACATGCCGCCGCGCTGCTTCTCGCGGCGATTACCAGCGCACAGCCCAGCGGCTTTCTTTACGGAAGGCGTCGGCATGCGAACGGGGGAGTGGTTAGGAACAGCTGGAAGAATAGCAGCACCGGCACACGACCTGTCAGGAGGCTCGGGCGCGCCGCCGGCGCCGCCGCAAACAATTCGCGCTAAACACAAGAGCACGTTGCGCGACTGCGAAACGCCAGATACCTGAGCAGCGCAGTTGCCCAACCGGCTCACGCAACGCGCGCGCGCATCCGCCCCGCGGAACACGTGACGGCCAGCGCCCATTCACACACGCCACGCAAATTTCATTTCACCTGCACCACTGGCGGCTCCTGCGTTCAATAACAGTTCTAGCAAAATCCCCCACCTATCTTGTTTATCGCTTGTTTGGATGGTGCATAGATCAGTGTAGTCTCTTTCATATGTTCCTCTAACTTAAAGCTACACTTATCCTAGTTCTATTATTTACTACTGCATTGGGGTAGATTCGTTATGAGTTTCAGAAAGGAGTCGAACGCATTTCTGTTGTTTATTCTCGTGAGCATGTTGTACGTTGAAGCTAAATTGTATTGTTTTACTTGATCTATTGAGTTTATATTGGTGTAGAAATTATCGGATACGCGTGCTCTTTGGTAACTGATTGAGTTCATATTTAATTCTCTCTGGAGTTGATTTAAAATAAATCATAGAGCGTTTGTAATTAGTCTGAATAATTTGTTGTGGACTACTTCTATTTTGTTTATGTTCAATGGTGCGGCATTTGTAAAGACAAGCGTATAGCATTATGGTTCTTATAATCGTTTTATAATGTTATTGCATTTGTTAATGAGAGTTTGCAGTTTTTATTCAATGTTTATGTGGATTTTTGCAGTTGAGTCAGTGTGTCAAGATTTACTCTCAAGTATCTGAAGAGTTCATATTATGGTGTACAGTTAATGTAAATAATATTTATTAGTAACGGATGAGGGGCAGAGAATGGTTTTAAAGAAAATATGTTTGCTTTTGATTTGTTTGAGTTTAGTTTTATCTTCCACTTCGTTGCCCATTCGTCAATTTTACTTATATGTTCAATTTTTGTCCTATGTGTCATCGTTGTCTTGATAAAAACATTGCCGTAACGTCAGCAAAATGTACAAGTTGTGTGTGTGATGGAGATATCTGCTGACCAAAGATTGAATAGCCTTGAGGGTAGTGGAGAGCCTTGGGGTAATCCTCCTCCTATTGTGCTTAGGTTAGAGCTATGATTGTCTTAGGTACCTGTGAATGATAAGTCTGTTATAAATTGCGTGATGATGTTTACAGTAGTGTTCCTACTGTTTTGAGTTGATGGATTAACCTAGGCTGCCAGAATCTATAAAAAGCTTGACATACGCCTAGGAGCATTGCTATTGTTTCTTTTCTAGGAAGTCAGTATGAATGTACTATAACCCATTTTTTAAAATGATAAATGTAAGTTCTTTTTTTAATTTCAAAATTACTTTATTTTTAACTTAACGCCAAACACAGTTAAATCTGTGTAACTATATTTATACAATTTTATTTTATTATCTTATCTTTAATATCACTAATTAGTTTTCACACGGGGGTCTATGGACTTCCAGGGTAAAGCGAATCTATTCGTGAGTCTATATGTATTTTATTTTTATTCTTTATGCAATATCTATTGTATCCATATTTCAGGTTTTTCCTCAAAAATGTTCTAAAAGTAAGCTAGTTGATAATTACAGTTTCTTTAAAAGTCACAATCGAAATTAATGGCCCTACAACAGCACACAATTTCTCGCATTATTTTACAATTTTACGAAGAGGCACACAGTTCCACGAAAAATACGACTTACGCCATTATTTTAAACGATCCTACATCCATTCCCGAAAAAAAATTAGATTACCGTCTACAGACCAGTCTCTCTTGACACTCGCCCTCGTGCAGGACCAACACCTAAGATGAGTAAAATGTGCATTCTTTATTGAACTAGTATTCATAACCACGTACTCGGATACATGGATTCTGTTGTAATAAATTATACAGACAACATTCTTTGTATAACGATGTTAATATTTTTAACTTCATTAATTAATGGTGTAAATAGCAAAATGTTTAATTGATTTTAATATTTTACATTGTTTATACATTTTATTTTTATTCTATATTGTTCATAAAGTACTGAAAAGAGACCAGTATAAGATGTAGACCACGACATCCATATTCGTCTGTGTTAAGGTTAGATTTTTGAACTTGTATGTACATGTTTTTAAAAACTAAATATCAGTCTTCACAAGTGAAATCTTTTCACATAATTTTTTTATTGTCTTCAAAATGCTCCCCCAAATCTATCATGTTATTTCGTAGCTGAGGTGAAATATGACTGCAGTTCTATTTGATCTTATATTATACTTTATACAATTATCAATAGATGTACGTTCGTTTTTGTCGGCTGGATTACGCCCAAGCATTACCCAACTCTTAAATTTGGCTTCCAAGCCCAGCTCGACTCGCTTGATGTCACGTACCTGGCATTTCAAGCACTCATGTAGCGCGTAGTTGACAGTCACTATTAAAAGAACCAACCTTATAACTTCTCGTTACAATATCATTAGGGCACGCAATGCATACGAATGCTCTGAATCTTTGCAAATGCCAAAAGCTCAAGACCTTTTCGAAACCTGTAAATAAAGCAAGTTACGAAAGAAAATCGCATTACGTAACAAAATGTGCAGTAATATATTTAAACCCAACAAATACCCCCAATTTGTATAATAATAATAATAATAATTATTATATTATTATTATTATTATTATTATTATTATTATTATTATTGTCCCCTCTACATGTAATACATTAAGGAAAGTTTTTTTTTTATAATTCATAAGGAACCATCGACACTAAATCCCCCACACTTATTACTGCTGGGTAAGAGAATTATGGTCCTTTCCCCGGAGGTGAATTAAAAGGATGTTATATGAAAACCTAGAAGTTCGCTGATAGTGGGGTATTTTGAGAATGAGGTACACATGCAACCCGCAACACACATTACAAAACACGCTTTACCCTCGTGCATAATTGGAAAACGATGCGACGCAGAGCCTTAAAATGGGTTTTGTGAATCTAACCTTTTCACTCCCAATATTAATTAAAAGAAACAGAAATGTTATTATTGTCAGTGTTCTCTAGCGGAAGTAAATCGAATTACGAAAACACTGAATTATGGAGACATTCTAAATGAAACATATAAAAAGTTTTGTCGTAATTGAATGTCGATTTCGCTGAGATCGGAAGAGCATTGTACGCTCCCGGTCAGGGTGTACTCATGTCTTACGTTGGTTCGAATCTTTATCTAAAACCGCGCGCTCGGAGGAACAGGCCGGTGTGAAACAATGATTTAAAAACGCGTGTTTTTGGAATATAACAATTTTGGGCATTCTACACGTTGCCCCATTTTTTTCGATTTAGAGGTTAGAGAGTCACGTGATGACACAATGATAGCAACTTTTCCAGTGACGTTATCTACACTTGTTGCCATCGAATCGGAATGAATAAATGAAGGCGATAGAGCGTCGTAGCAGCTTCTGCTACACATTTTGACGCCCAATATCAAAATATCGCACCATTGACAGAAACCAAACATAGTACGTATCGGATTGAAGATACTGAATTCGGGCCTGAAATCTGGAATCCACTTTAGATTGCCGATGGAAGATCAAGCAACGCACGCATGATAGGGTAGTCATGCGATGTCACACTGTGCCACGCCCAACAGTCATGCGCGAAGAATAACAGTATGTTTAGCTATTAAGAATTTCTCAGTCAACCGACAGGGAAGCCACTGGACAATACGTCGCCATCATACTCATACAAGTCTATTTCGAAATAACGAAGCTTACATTTTTTTTAAATTTCGTGTTCAATTTTCTCATTAATATGTCCAGGGACGTGTGAGGAAATATGTTGAGAATTTTATGCGCAATACACGGGACGTTCGGGATCCATGCGGGAATCGTGTCGAGATACTTGTGGTAAACGTTCCGAAAGAATGTGACATGCGAGGAGCAAGAGGAAACCGAGTTGCTTTTCTTTAACAGCCCCGCATCAATGAGGGTGTCTGCGATGGACCCAAGCAGTTCTACTGCCTTTGTTTAAGCATTCAGTTACAGTTTCATCATTTAGAACTGATGCTATACAAATCTTTCTTAACACTGATCATTTAGTCTTTCAATACTAATCCGAAACCGTCGCAACGCATAATCATTTCTTGGAAAATGCTACATTACGGCCGCCCCCAAGTACCCAACAGAATGTTCAATTAGCTACATTTTTTATAGTACCTATCGACGTAGCAAATGAACTACAATTTAAAGGAACATTGCGTAAGCAACTGGGCTTCAGATGAAACGCTTCTAATATGACTGTTACGTTTGACACATCCATACATTCATACATCTTTTTGCATGCATCGTTTCTATTTGCAACAACTTTCGAAGCGGCAAAGGTGGCCCAGCGCATCCACTGATGTGACTGCAGAGCCTCCGGTCGGGAGGTTTAGGAGTTCGAGACCAGACGTTGGCAGACGTTTCGACACATACATACGTAGATACGAGAAAGGGCTCGGTTCAAATTCAGCCGCTGTCTGTAGAATTCTTTCGACCGGTTGCTCTGATCAATATTTCCGTTTTTTCCGATCAACACCAGGCGAATGCCGGAGTAGCTCCCTAACAAACGGGCTAAGGACAGCGCGCGATCTTTCTTCCTCATTCTTGTCATATAGTCATCCTCTACTTAAACACACTTTCACACACATGGACTTCACAACTGCAGTTGTCGGGAGACCAGTCAGAGGAAAGACTTCACACAAGCCTGCCTTGATTACAAACAAATTGCACAGGATGCTGACGATACGGCAAAATTTGTATCAACACGCACGCTGACATAGCAGTACACAATTGAACATGTAAATAAAATAGACGAATGGGCATCGAAATGGAAGATAAAACTAAACCCAAAGAAATCAAAAGCAAATATATTTTAACACCACTCCCTGCCCCCCAATCCTTTACTAATAAATATTAGTCACATTAACTGGACACCATCAAATCAGCCCTTTCAAAGACACTAGAAAGAAAACTTAAAAACAGCTCAATACGTGTTTTCCTGCAACATTGGATGGAGCAGCCCTATTTACTGTATGTGTTATTGCATGTACTGCTTCAGCCTACATTGCGTTCGGACGATGAGCTGCCGATTGAAGTCAACAGCGCGCCACCTCACAAATTATTATATTTTCGCGAT